TTCTTTCTTTCTTTCTTTCTTTCTTTCTTTCTTTCTTTCTTTCTTTCGCAGCACCTTCTGATGATTCTCTATTGCGCTTATAAGTCAGCATTTTTAGGAGCAAAGATGGAGAAAGCCCCGATTATGCTGCATTGATATGCATACAAATGAAATCCCAGGGCTGCGTGGGTGGAGAAAATATGTGCTTAGAGGCAGCAGTTTTCAGATATCTGGGGATCTGCAGGAAAGGATTGGTGATGTTTGTTGGTTGCATGGCCCCAGAAGCAAGCCGGATCTTTCCATAGTCCTCAGGGCTGGGGAAGCCCTGGTTATCTAATGCATGCCCTCTGGGTACACTGACTTAAAAGGCTCCAATTTCTCCCGATAGTAGCAGAGGAACGGATCTTCCTGCTACTACTCAGAATCCTCTGGAGAGCTTACCAATGCTGCATCGTCCTCAAAGCTGATAATTTTTCAGGCCTAAACAAATGTCACCTAACTACTAAAAGTCCTCCTTTGAAGAAGATGCCTTTCAGATCGGCTGCAATAGGTCACCGTAGGGGTGGAGACAAGAAGAGGGAACTGGTAAGATGCCCTCCAAGTCCTTGCCTCCAGGAGACGCCAAGTCATGAAGCAAGAGGACAAGGATGATGGGAATGCTCCTTTGTTGTTATGCGGGTATGATAACAGAATTCTGAAAGGCTGCCGGAGTTTGTCCCTGCTCTTTGCTCCTTTACATTCTAACCACTGCGGTGGCACAGTGGTTAGAATGAGGTACTACAGCCCTATTTCTGCTGACTGCTGGCTGACTGCAATTTGGCAGTTCGAATCTCACCGGCTCAAGGTTGACTCGGCCTTCCATCCTTCCGAGGTGGGCAAAATGAGGACCCAGATTGTTGGGGGCAATAGGCTGACTCTGTAAACTGCTTTGAGAGGGCTGTAAAGCAGTATAAAGCAGTATATAAGTCTAAGTGCTATTGCTAAGTGCTATTACAGTAATCCTTATGACTGGTCACAGTGACTTTCAAAATTACAACAGGCCACCCTGGCAATACAACTGAATTGAATGTATTGTCATTATATATATATACACAGTATACACACATAGCGAAATTCAGATAACACCCAGAGACCAGACCCAACAGGCACACACACATATGACAATCCCAAAACACACACCCACCCACCAAAATTCCCCGCCCCCTAAATTACAGACCAAGTAATACTGTCCAACTGCTCTCTGATGGTGGTCCTTAAGTTCATTGTTAAGTGCAATTATAGCTCTGGGATAGAAACTGTTCAGAAAACTTGTGGTCCGAGTTTTAATTGTTCTGTATCTTCTGCCAGAAGGCAACAGCTTCACAAAGATTGTAAGCAGGATGGGAAGAGTCTCTGAGAATGTTGTGCAACTTCCTCAAACAGTAAGGTGCGAAGATGTCGTCCAGGGCTGGTAGCTGACAACCTAGTTCCAAAATTACGATGGCCATTGTCCCTCCCTTCCACCCACATCCACCCTCCCGTGTTCACACACAACTGTGTTTTGGACACTCAACCGCCGGCCTGCATTTCTGGCTGTTCGCAGGTCCTACCATTAAATGGCATTTTAAGCTGTTTTTAACTGAAAACTGTCCTTCACTTCTGCTTTTCAACCCACAAAGAGCCATTGGTTTACTTAATGACTGTGCGTTCGAATCTATGCTCACTGAATTTGCTCCAGAACTGCCACAAAAAAAAAAAAAAATGGGGGAGGTGTCACATGGATGATCCACTTTATGACTGTCACAACTTTTCACCATGATGGCCAGGCTCCACTATAATCATATGCCGAGGGCTACCAGTATCTGAGAAGCATGCGCAGATATGAATAGGAGCACATAAATTACACACGTGGCCTCCGTGGCAGCGACTAGCGTGTCCCTTGAGAGCAGGCAGATTGTCCAGCTGGGGCTTGGGTATAATATCAACCCTGGACAAGAGCTGGAATTATAGGCTGGAAGAGCATGAATACGCTAAGAAGGGAGAGCGATTTCCAACAATGTTTTCCAACAGGCTGGGCCCAGGGGCAAAGCATCAGGCTGGGATATGGGGGAGTGGGGTGTCTCCTTAATTACCCCCAGAAACTTCCCTTTCCTCGGTCATTTCCGCTGCCTTGAAATCCACCCGTGACCTCTCCACTTTCGAAAACACCCAGGGCTCTTGCTAAGCTGCCCTGGGACAGACGGGATATTGTTTGGGAAGCTGGAGGACAAACAAAGAATCCTTTGAGCGATGTGAGAACAGCGGCATCACAAGGCGGGGCGGGAGGCTCGGCCTTTTGTTCCTCCAGCTCCCGAAGAGGCACCAGGAGCCAATGACAAAATCCAGAAACAACATTGAGGGTGGGGGGAGGAGGAGGAGGAGGAGGTGGCACGACGGCTTCACTAGGGCATTTCTTCCCACCTCTGTCCTTCCTCACTTGGGTGTGTTTTGGCTTGGAGATGCCATCTGAGAGCCGTTTTGTGTAGGTGGCACTGAAGTGAGAAAGAGAGAGAGAGAGAGAGAAAGAGGGAGGGAGGGGTGGAGGAGAGAGAAAGAGAGAGGGAGAAGGAGAAGGAGGGGGAAAGAAAGAAAGAGAGAAAGGGAAGGAGAGAGAGAGAGAGAAAGAGAGAGAGAGAGA